AATATACTACGTTCTCCCCTTGAAGAGTCCTAGGGCACATCAAATATGCTATGTTCTCCCCTTGAAGAGTCCTAGGGCACATCAAATATACTTACCCTTCTCTATATGTTTTATAAATGTTTGCAGTTACACACGCTGGGGGAGAGAGCTTGTCCCGTGACTGGCAGTTACACACGCTGAGGGAGAGAGCTTGTCCCGTGACTGGCAGTTACACACGCTGAGGGAGAGAGCTTGTCCCGTGACTGGCAGTTACACACGCTGAGGGAGAGATCTTGTCCCGTGACTGGCAGTTACACACGCTGAGGGAGAGAGCTTGTCCCGTGACTGGCAGTTACACACGCTGAGGGAGAGATCTTGTCCCGTGACTGGCAGTTACACACGCTGAGGGAGAGAGCTTGTCCCGTGACTGGCAGTTACACACGCTGAGGGAGAGCTCTTGTCCCGTGACTGGCAGTTACACACACTGAGGGAGAGAGCTTGTCCCGTGACTGGCAGTTACACACGCTGGGGGAGAGAGCTTGTCCCGTGACTGGCAGTTACACACGCTGAGGGAGAGATCTTGTCCCGTGACTGGCAGTTACACACGCTGAGGGAGAGATCTTGTCCCGTGACTGGCAATTACACACTGTGACAAACTGCCCTTTGCCACTGGCTTTTGGAGGAGCCTGATTGGCAGCCTCCTGCCTTATGACTATGGCCCTGGGGTGTATTGCCCTTTAAGAACATTATTGGGGCATATTAAGCTTGGCACAGTGCCCCTTTTAAACTGTCAAAGTGGAACTTTGAACAGCCGGACCACACACAAGTGGAGTGTGCAGCCCATTTACCTCCCAGAAGCTGTGGTTAACCGCAAGCTAATCGACGAACGGCTGGGTGGTCACCGTTCGTATAGTCGAACACGTGGTGGCGACCATCTTGTTTAGTCGAACGTGGTCAGCTGTGTTTTGCTGTCGAGTTCATGGAACTCAAATCAGACACGCGACGGCACGCTGAACCTTACCTTCTCTGGAACTTCAACACTTTGACGGAAATCGAAGTACGTTCGAAAATATTTGAACGCCACGTTAACATTGGATATTTGCACGAACGGCGCCCGTTCATGCATTTGAATGGAACTTAGCATTTTAACTATGTGAAATAGGCCGACCGCACAGCCTAAATCTATGGAACTCTTTGGGCATGAAAGCCATGCTTGCGGTCGTTCAAATAAGACTTCCATGGAATTCGGGAACCCGTTGTCACGTATTAATCCGCTTATAAGAATGTGATTAATGGAATTTACTGTTCAGACAGGAAAAGTTGTGCCAAACTTGAAAATTCCTAATACCTTTCATGTGTCCTTGCTCAAACCTTTTGTTTGCAATAAATATACTGTCTCAAGTGTCCCTCCTCCTCCCTTAGTTATTTCTGGACAGGAAAAGTATGAGGTCTCCTCCATAATTGATTCCAGGTTTTCTCGGGGCACTTTACAGTACTTGGTGGATTGGAAAGATTATGGACCAGCCGATCATTCTTGGGTTCCAGCATCTGATATACATGCTGGCCGCAAGACTCGCTATTTTCACGCCACATTTCCTCTCAAGCCTGGTCCTGCCTGCCCGGTGGTCATTCTTCCGGTGGGGGTGGGGGGTGGGGGTAATGTCACGTATTCATATTTTTATAAAAATGTGATTAATGGAATTTATTGTTCAGACAGGAAAAGTTTAATCTCCGGGAAATCCACAGCGCCAGGGAAGCCTTGATAGATCCTTTGAAAGCTAGCAACCTACAATTCGACCTAAGCAGGCTGACCTCCCTGGAGTGGAGGCTAGAACAAGACTTCCAACAACTGCTCGACCTGAGGCTGGAGCGAGCTTACCAACCACTGTTCAGTTCCGGGCAGTCCCAAAGTACCCTGGAGGTACCCCAAGAGAGCAGAATGGCAGATCCAGGTCTAGAGCAATTCAGCTGGAAGGATATCATAGATGTTTACTGGGAGGAACCCCTAATGGCAGGTAGAGATGGGACCAAGGTCTCTCTAACGGCCCTACAGGGATGCTGGGCAGCTGGCCCAGATCCCCACCCACAGTATGTTTTACAGGGAGAGGAGAGCATCGACCTCTCTCCCCAGCAGCAGTATGTTCTACAGGGAGAGGAGAGCAGCGACCTCCCTCCCCAGCGGCAGTGCACCGTGCAGAGGGAAGAGACAACTGGTC